TGATGTACTTAATATGAAGAATAACAAAAAAAACAGTTAATTAAAAGAAAGTGCATAAGAAATAAAAAAAAAAAAGTACGTACAGTATTAAACTTTTTTGTGAGATCTATAATGCTAATTTTATGTCTTACTAATTACTTTTCTTTCCAGCCTAAATAAAACTATAATTTTAAGTTAGATTGATCAAAAAGATAATGATTATAATATATACTGTATCTTATAGACTCTATAAGTTTGAACTTTATTACATAGAAGTAGTTACAGTTTTGATATTAATATATTTTATAAATTGTATAATTTTCAAGATTCAAATATTACAATATTTAAGATTAAAGAAACCGGTAAATTAATAGATAGCTATTTATATATTAGTAATAACATAATAATCTAGTTAATTTGAATCTGAATTTTCATTATTTTCATTTGGGGCAAAATATAACTCATCTTTATATAGATTGTATACATATGGGTGAATATCTTTAAATAGTTGTGTCTAACATTTGAAAGATATAGACTTTAAAGAAATTGTGTCTAAAGGTTTGTATAGATCAAAAGAAAGATTATCACGAATTATAGCTTCTTTTTTTGACCTGTTAGGTTCTAATGTTATAAAACTTTTTCAGGTTGATTATAATAAAAATAAAAATGCTGATATGTCCATATACCACTACATTTAATAAAGTAGGGTTTAAAAAATATTTCAAAATTATAGTAGTTCCATCCTATCTTATTTTTATTATCGTATCTAACTGCTATATTACTTTCATTTTTTTTGATTAATTAATAATAGTTTCAATGTGGTCCATACTTATAACAGTAGACTTATAGTAAAGTGATTTAATTGTTTTAAAATATGCATCATATATAAATTTAGTATGACCAGGAATCATGAAGTTAATTTCAACTATGTTAAAACGTTTAATCATAGTAAACCACGAATAAAACTATAAAGCAAGATTGTTTTTGTTCTGGCTCCCGCAGTTATCACAGGTAACTTTAAGATTTTTATGTGGCAAATTCCAATCAAGTAAGCTATCGTATATAAGATTAAGAGTAGTATTGGTGCCTTTAGGCGTTTTTATTGGTAATTGATATTTACTAATTAAATAATTTCATTGTGTTGTAGATCCCAAGCTAGTATTGGTAATTCCAAAAAGATAGATATTAAATGGAGATTTAAAAAATAAACCTCCAGGTTGTCGTGGTGAGTAGAGAATTGGTATATTTTGAGCCTAGTCATAGCAAATATGCATAGTATTAAATCTTATTTGTTTACTAATTTTAATATTTTCATTATAGTACTAATGCTCAATTGTTGCAGCTGCACAATGAAGGTCATATTCGCTTAAAACTTTTGTTTACTTTCAATATCATCTATAATGTGAATATTAATATGAAGTTGTTCACATTTATCATACAAATCAGAGGCTTTAAACATAAATCTAATATCAGGTGCGATTTCATGCCAAATTTGATGAAATGTAGAAAAAGCTATAGCTTTATAATCTTCACCTTTAATAAATTTAATTGTATTTATATATTCTTCATATACACTATTATAAGTTGTGTCTATTAAAAGTAAAATAACAGACATAGTACTTTTTTGCATATGTCGACCTGGTGATGGATATTCATGGATATTAGTATAATTATGAAGAAAGATATTAAGTTCTTGTTTTGCTTCATCATCAATAATAGCATGATTAGGCCTAATAAAAGCATGTTCTATGTTGCCATGAGTTATTTCTAATGCATGTTTTAATTCGATCAAGCCATGAAGAAGAAATTCTGATTAATACTAAATAAGTAGGTAAGCATACAATATATTGTGCTTTGTAGCAGTATTGATATTTTATATGATTATTTAACTCTTGAGAGTTGGTTTGTTCAGATGATTCACTACAAGCAAATAATGCAAGTTGCTCTTAAATCCAAGTATTCAAGTAATTATAAAACATATTATAGCATTCTTCTTGTCATTTAAAGAATTGACAAAACCCTATCTTTTCAAAACAAGATTTATTATTTTTTTTACTTTTTCTGCAGGTACATTTATTTTTTTGCCAAAACTCCCATAATTCTCGAACATGCTGACAGGTAAGATTATTGGTTTCATCATATTTATTTAAATTTAATTCAGCGAATGAAGGAACAAGATTATATGATTCATCTTGTTCTTGAGTTAAGTTTTCATAAGAATTTGTATTTAAAATTTTAGAATTCATCATGTTGATAAAGTAAAAAAAAATTTTCTAGATCAATCGTTACAACTTGACATAATTTATAAATTTTATTATTTGAATTGAGTTTTATAAAAGTTTAATCTTAAAATTTGTATAATTATTGACACTTTATTACTGTTAGTGTTAAATTATCAAAAAATTCAATTTGAATTTTAGTTTAAAATATTCTATTGCTACTGCTAAAATCAACAATGTCACAAATCATTCTAAATTTGAAAACACTAAGCCACGTATAGTGTTAAATTATTAGGAAATTTAAATTCTCTAATTTTTGACCTTAATTCACTTAATTCACTAACATTTAATTACTGTTAGCATTAAAATTTTTAAATCCACTATTGCGCTATTACTAAAACTGTTAATATTGTATCAACAATGTGATCGATTTGTACATACATGAGCTATGTTACACATAAATATCTAAATTTATCACAATTACCAAACTTGCATCAAAATGATTAATCGTTGATATCTCCAAATTAAAAATTCGTCTCTAAGCCCCGATTTGCTGTGGAAGGGCCCATTTTATATATATACGTGACACAGGTCACGTGATCTGATCTTCGTCAAAAATGAGCAAAAATAATGCAACACGTGTTTCGTGATACACGCGTGATTATTTTTGCATCGGCAATAATACTGACTGCTAAAATTCTAGGATTAGAAAAAGACGCTATTTGCGAACAAAATAAAAAAAATTAGCAGATACGCCCGGAAATGTGTGAGATAATACGATCTAACTAAAATTTTTTTTTGTTGCATTATTTATGATTGCCAGTGTATACTGTAATTGCATTAAGTTCATTATTGCACTCTCTTCTTCTACATTATCCATAAATTTTTTGTAAACTACATCTTCGATATCTTCAAGTTCTATAGCACTTGCACTTTCTTGCACTTCATGAATATTGCTCATATTCTGCACTTGACGTTTCCTTTATTTATATGGGTTAAGCATTCGATACAAATTTCTTTATTGGTTTCAAATTGATTAATTTGCTTTATTATTTGACAGGACGATCATTTTTTTGAATTCGATTGGGCTGATAATCAGTAATAAAAAAAAACTTTAAATGACACTTGTTATTAAGTTACAATATAAACAGACATCGGCATTATTAACACATTATTAACTATAACCGAGCATAATTAAAATTAATCCCAACTCCATACGTAACTGATCGTGGTGGTTATGCTAGGTTCGTGTTTATAAAGTGGGTAGAGTTTATTTCTCTAAATTCAGATAATTTGACGAAAAAAAAAGGTTTTTTTTATCAACTTCAAAAAAATGGATTAGATCATATATTTGTTCTTCTTGAATGCATACGGGTTAAAAACCGCAATACGTATTACAATATGAAAAAAAAAAAATTTATCAATGGTATAAAAGTGTATTGTATTGATAACAGATGATGTAAAAATAATATAAATAAAACTAAATAAGATCGATACATGGGAATTTCTATGTATAGACTTTCATAATTTTCATTATTACTGTATATAAGTTATATCTATGTAAAAAAGTTCTAATCATATTTTTCTAACAATGGGTTGACCTCTATTTTGGTTTAATACTGTTCAGCACCAAGCGTAATACACTTTCTTTAAATGCATTATTTTGTCTAATCATCCATGTGGTCCCAATAAGATGCGTTTAGGTCTTTCTGAATTCGAGACTGACATAGTAAATGCTATCCAGGTAATGAATTCATTCTTGATTAACTTAATTTATTGATATTGCATATATATATGTCTATTGTTAAAGATGATCAAATATTCATTTGATGTATCAAGGATGATACTTTAAAACAATGGGCAATGGCGCAGTAAATCGCCACCGCTTTGTAGTTCAAATCCGTGTAATACTGAAGATCAAATTCGTACAATCATATATTTTGTACGAATGGTCGTCTATTCACATATTTTTAAACAATTTGAATGAATTAAACAGCTTGAACAGTTTGAATAGACTGAATTAAATATAATAGAAAATTTTACTATTGAAATTAAGAGCATTTTAGCCTCTTAAATTTTTATTTGTTTAAATTAATAATTATTACAACATAACGATAATGCAATGTTTAATTACACTGAATTTGTACAACAAAAACATTCAATTAACAAACTTGATGATTGATAATTGCCTTCAATTAAAGAATGTTAATTGTTCTAATTATCGATTAACTAACTTATATTTAAACAACTATAATAAAAATTTTATTATTTTTTAATTAAAAAAAAATAACAATGAATTAAAATGTTGAAGAACTTTATCAACTTGGACAAAAATATATAGAAGGTCATTATATTGGAATAGATAGAAAAAAACCTTTGAGTATTTTAGAAAGGCTGCTGATCATTCGAATTAATTTTTTTCTTGCCTGCTTCACTTAGCCTTGTTTCAATCATCACGCTTTTTTTTCAGAATACCGTTCATTGATAATATTATTTTATGTCATAGAATCAAACTCATACGGTTATAATTAAATTTAGAAAAATGATTGTCAAATTCTTTCGCTATGATCTTTCTTATAGTCTTTTGATATCAATTCATTTATCCGGTAAAAATCTACTAAAAACAAACCAAAGAAAAAAAAAAAAAAAAAGCAGAAAATGCAAAAATAAATCCATGTCTAAATAAATGACTAATAAAAAGGCTTAAAAAAAGGCTTTTTAGAGCATATATTGCATATAATAATGAACATTAAAATTACATTATTTTTCAAATACAGTATATACATATAAACCATTTTGAAATTACTCTTCATCGCGGTAACCATTATCCTCAAAATCTTTTTGACTTGAAGATAGTTTTTCAATCAAACTCATTATAGTATTAATTTTTACTTCAATACTTTTTATATCTTCTCCAAATTCATTAAATCGTTTTTCAACTCCTTCAGATTTCACCATAGTTTTAACCTCGCTTTCAATTCCGTCAATTTTCTTTTCAATTCCATCAATTTTTAATCCAACACCTTCAATTGTATCAACTTTTATTGTCATATTAATCATATCTAATAATGAAGATGAGAGGTATGGTGGATTGGAACCAGCATAATTCTTTTCGTAAACCAAACTAACCAATTGACGAAGTTCATCTACTGATACTTCATAATTTCTGATACAATATATATATATATATATATATATATATAATTAATTATTGAAAAAATAGAAACCAGATTATTTAAATAAAATTTGTTATTTACATGAAATCAGGAAACCAGGTTTGTTTTCTTCTTTGAGATGGCAACATCCAAAAAAGTTCTATTTCATTTAAAGTCTAGACATAAAATAATATAAATATTAAAATTTTTCTTATAAGGTATAATATACGGTAGATTGATTAATTACCATAGCTCTCAAATGTAAAAATGACTGTTTGTTATTTGCTTCATTGATTGCAAGACTAAGTAAACCAATAAAAAGGTTCATTAAATAAATAGTTGTAGTAAATGAAAATACAACCAATAGAAGAACCAATATCCAATCTTTAGCAAGAACCGATGTACTAATCAGACTTATGTCCCCTAATAAATACGAAAAAATAAATATTAGTTACAATAGTACTGGTATAATTTGTAAGCATGATCATTATTACCTGTCATCATAAAATATACTGCTAAAAAGGAAGAATATAGCATTGAAAACATGCTTAGATTATCATCATCAGAATCCTCCATGATGTTTTCGGCAGTATAATTAGATAGAATATATTGAGAATTATTTACATCACCACTATTACTTTGTTGATCCGAATTAGATCTTAATAGAAGATGTAAAGAATGTGCGAACGCAAAGATAATGATTGCCAAAACTACCAAAAAAGAGAAAACTCTTTGTGCGACTCTGATCATTATCGCAAAATAAGTTCCAAAGTATTTAATCGCACGAAAAAAAAGCAGAAATTTCAATTCAAGGAATAAGGTTGAAATGACAGTTTCCCAAAGGGGTAATTTTTCAGTTCGAAGCCATGAAATAGAGGTAAAAATTGGAAACAATATCACAACAAGATCTAATTATAATATGAAAATTAGAATGAACAAGAACTATCCTATCAAATTATATAAAATGAAGTATACATACTAAACAAATGCCAATAACTAAGTATGAATAATCTTGGATTATGAATAAATCGTCGTATCTCAAATATTAAGTGAAAAATTCCTAGGAAAATAGTTAATTCCAAGAGAATAACTTTTTTACTCCAAGAAATTTGTGACATGGTTGCAGCGATCGTAAAACTGCACATGAAAGCTGTAAATATTGCCCACATAAAAAAGTAATAATATCTTCCATAAGTATCCCATTTAAATTGGACAAGAGCTTCCAGATTCCACCACTCATATATCTCGGAAGAAAATGATAAAGTGAAAGAATTATTGCTAGGAACAATTAATTCTTGTAAAGTTAAATAATCTTTAGAATAAGTAGAAAAATTTAGTAAAGGAAACATTAATTTGATGGTTAACTGAGCTTTAGACTTTTGATAAAATGAAATGGGAAATTTTAAAGTTTTATAAAATGTTGGATAATTAAAAGAAATCCAAAATATTACACGGTTTATTAAAGAAGTTTCGGTTAAATAAAAATACTCGCCACAATGTTGAATGTGGGAAGCGTTAGAATTACTTACTAAAGAATCTTTAAAATTATGAGAAGGAATGAATGCTAAATGTGCTAGCAATCGAGTAACAAAAGTAAAGGATTTTTCAGATAATTGAGGGAATGAAGAAAAGATAATATTTACTAATTTACTAAATGATGAAAGATTTCCTTCTTCTATCTGAAGTTCACTTAATTTAAGGCATTTTTTGAAAAATGCTTCGATCAATTCATCATCATCCTCTTGTAATAATGCGCGCATAAGATTATCACCATATAATTCCAAAAGCAATACGTTATCCATATAATCGTCAAGTAAATCGTGAAAATTAGGTGCATTTGATACCCATTCTCTGTCATTATCAGTAAACCATGTACTTCTTTTGCGCATTTTAACAACCCTATTAAAATGTGGTGGAGGTAATAGTTTTTTGTTTGAAAATTTCAAATGGTCATTGTCAAGAATCCATTCGAGATTCATTATTAATCCTTCTTGCGGTATTTTAGACCTGATACCGTCATAAATTCCCCAATAATAAAGTAATCCAATTTCACCGTCAGATTTAACGGTCCAAATAAATACACCAATAGGTGTGATCATCAATAAATCCTCACTTTCTAAAAGCTTACATTCCATGAAATAGGTGGATTTACTTAATAAAAAATGGTTCGAAGGAAGTTCTATACTTTTCTCGATAGGCTCCCGACTTTCTTCTTCATTCTGTTCATGGTTAAATATCTGAGCTTTTAATGAAAAATTTCTTCTTGTTTCAAACCTATCATGATATACCACATTCCAAGAAAGCAAATTTCCTTGGAAAGTTTGTTTTTTGGATTCGGATCCAGAGTTTTGATTAGTTTTATAATTTTCTAAAGTATCCACCAACATTTTCTTAACAGTTTCTCCACAAAAAAAAGGTTGGAATTCGGTTGGTATCTTCATTTATTAATCGTAAATATTCGGTCCATTCTGGTTCCGCTATTTCCTGAACAAATAAACGATTGCTCCATACCCTTATTATATGTTTTTGGTGAACTGTAAACACTTCGATTTCATGTTCACCATGTTTTAAAAGATTAATCGCAGAATAAATTTGAAGGGTATAGGGATTTGCTATCTTATGTGTTAATTTTCTAAATGTTTTTGGAAAATGTCCTTTAACAAGAAGCCACTCCTCTTTACCTGTTCCAAAGAATTCTAACTTATCTATGACTGCAGGAGGGACAGATTCGATCTTACCTAGATGATAAAAAAAATTTTTATAATGCATTTGATAGTAATGAGAAAATATAATTTACCCGCAAAGTAAATTAAAAAAAAAACTTACATTTTGTCATTATAACACCGGTTTCCACTGAATATATATAAAACATATCCCAATTTTGGTGTCTACCATATACTACCAACATTGTCAAATCATTATTTAAATAGGTGTTTATATCTGAACGATTGCCATATAGATATCCATTCAATAAATATTGATTTTCAAGTTTCAAAGTTTCTAAATCCCATTGTGAAATTAAAAATGGCATATCAAGAAGCAGTAACAATTTTCCTTTTGGATGGATGATACATCTACGAAATTTAGGGAGTTCTATCATGCTCTTGTACAACCATTGAGGTTTTGAAAAGACATAAGCTCGGTTCACAGGATCACCTTTAATTACCACCAAATCATCATTTTCGAGGAAGCCAACTTCATGAGTCTCACCTTCTAAACCTTGAGCATTTAGAGTGCAAGGCTTTTTTGTCACGAGATTTATTATTACTTTAAAAATATTTTAATTAGTTCAAATAATAGAGCACGAATGTATATTAATTAAACGATTAAGAAACTAACCAAAATCATAAGGAGCATCTCTCTGTACCCTGATTATGACATGTTTGCTATCAGAAACCCCATATAGCTTACAATTATGTAGATGCCTAATATCGCTACTGGGAATCATGTAATCAAATTTAAGTTCTTGCTGTTCTTTAACGATTGGATATCCATACACTGATTTGTCTTCTTCACTCCAGGTCGCAACATACGTTCCATTTGGTGAGCAGACAATGCTTGTGGTTATTTTTTTATTGTGAGGGATATCATCATCATTGACGTCAATAGTGACCTCTTCAGAATGAGTGTCTTCTTTTGTTTTTCTTGAACTTGATCGTCGTATCTTACTCATTGTGGTTTGTTTTTTCTTTTTAGAAATCTAGAATACTGTCAAATTTCTGTACCATTGTATCTATTAAAGTTTGTTTTTACTTATGTACCTGCAACGATGCATAGCCATACCATTTTTTTTGACACTGAGCCATTTACAAACAAGGCCTGTCATAATTAAAAATTCTCCAAAATCATGTTGATAAAATAATAAAACGTTATGTTTATGCTTAGCATACTAACAAACACATACGCACATAAACTAATCTTATTAAGCTAAGCAAAATTGTTAACCTAGCCTCACACATAGCTAATGTTAATGCTGTATTATTTGTCAAAATAATTTGACTATTTTATTCATACCGGGCAAAGGATCGACAACACTAATTCCGTAAAAGGAAAATTTTTATTTTCATCTTTTGCTATGCTCAAAAATTGACCAATTAATCGATACATGATACTCTAAGTAAAGTGCTCTACACAAACAACCTCTTCCAAATCTTATATATAACCCTGAATACTAACCTTAACGTGAAAAATTTGAGTTAAAAACTTTATATAAAATTTATAAACCAAAAAAAAAAATAAAATAAAATATATAATAGGTGTCATATGTGCGTTTTATAATAAATATTCATTTTTTGTCAATTACTTGCGCTGGTAATAAAAGCCGAGAAGAAGTTTTAACGAAAAACAAAGTAAATACAGTCGATACTGTCCAAATGCATACCGTCGGGAAAGGCAAAAAAAAAAAAAAAAAAATCAAATTTATGCATTTATACAGTATCAACCAATCAAATACCAGAAAATCAACTGTCTAAATGCATATTACTAATAATTTTCTTTAAAAAATTATGCATTTAGATAGTATGCAGTATGCATTTGGACAGTATCGACTGTACATGAAATTAGAGATTCAAGCTTATTAGTTAGGATAAGTGTAATGGTTAAAGAAGTAATTCAAAATTGCACCTTCAATTAGTACCTCCAATTAGTACCTCGAAGTTGATTTTGAACAGGAGGAATTGCACGCACCTAAAACAGAAACATGCTATACGAATTGATTAATATTATTCTTTACACGGCCATCTTCCCTATGAAACCTGAAGCTTTCGTGTTGCATTTCAATATATTTGCTGTAGTTGTTGGATTTGGATGATACTATATTCAGGTACTTTTTGATCATCTGTCAGCAATGTTGGCAAATTATGGACATAGACAATATGGACTATTAGAATGAACATTTATGGACTGTGTCATATTTTCCTATTGGACTTAAGCACTTAGTCCAGATCAAACATGTGAGCTTGCTATTCCAAAACTATTCGAATAGAATAAAAAAGATAGAAGATATGAATATAGACGCTATTTGGATTGGTTCATGTCCATATTCATCTAAGTCCAAATAAAATTTTTATTGGACATAATCCAAATACTAATACTGTCTGTCAGATATCTATATCCGATCTCTTTTCTAAACGGTATCCAGATGTTATCCTGATATATTTTAGAAGTGTTAATAATTATTTCTTTTAAGTTTGATGACTAATGCACTTAAAAAATTGGAATCGTTTATTGCAAAAATTTTTGTGAAATTTTGTAAAAAATCAAGTGTTTTTTTTTGACTATCTACGAATAGCATTAATATCGATATCCTTGGCAGCATTTGCGTTTTTAGTAAACAAATCCGGATTATCCTGTTTAAATCGGGCATGAATAAATAAGCCGTACTAAAAACAAAACAAAACAAAACAAAAGGCTGAAAATACGCCAACAATTAACCCTAATTTCTCCCAGTTCAGTTTGTATGTATGTAAGTGTCATCTTTGATTGGACAAAGTAGATTACAGCATCGTCTACTAATTAAATCACAAGGTTCGGTGTAACATAGCGATGCCGAGATCAGTGTTTCGGGCGAAACCCGATTTTGCAGATCATTTGCAGATCAAATTGGGCGAAACTAGTTTCGGAGGGTTTCGGACTTATAGGGCGAAACTAAAATTCCTCTGGGCGAAACGTTTCGGATTTG